CTGCCGTTGTCTTTACGCTGTCTAGACTCTACTGACTCCTTTAAAAAGCAGCTGAAGACATTTTTATACAAACGGGCTTTTAATTAATTTAATTAATTTTAACTTGTATGTCTGATCTTACTGTAAAGCACTTTGTGATTTTTATCTGTGAAATGTGCTATATAAATAAATTTTACTTACTTACTTACTAACATTTGGAGAGAGCAGCTTTGCTCCATCCAATGGAGCTTGAATTTAGAATAAACCAACCAAAACTGCAGAGCTAATCTATTTGCTTATATGGAATAGAATAAACACATTGACATTGTACATATACAATGAAACTGTGGGTGCTCCCTATCAACTGTCCAGATATGAAATATAAATAGTAAGACAGCAGAGACAAATATCAGACATGAGAGACATGTAGAGAACAAGAGAAAGGCACACATTAGAACAGACCTTCCCAAAGTGTGTGGCCCGCCCCCTAGGGGGGGTGCAGAGCCATTGCAGGGGGGCGGTATGAAAAGGGAAAACAAACAAACAACGCTTGGACACTGCTAGCACGGGGCGGCCACAGAAACGCAAAGCAGGAGCTGAAGCATCGCTGAATATGTTTCCAAAACAACTTCATTCTAAGCCAAAGACTAGAAAATATGATGAAGCAAATCTTCCCTTTGGCTTCACCTGCACAAGTGCTGTAGGTCTCCCTGCAGGGTTGGTTTTCCCTGTCGGGAGCAGCGCTGGGCTGTTCAAATCACAGACAAACAGGATCCCACAGCTGTTTATGTTTTTAAACCCATTTTGCACAGAGAGGCATTTTTGAAAAATGTATTGATGCAATGTTGAACATTATTACACAGGAAAAAAACAACTACACGTAAAATAATCACACTGTGACGCCTCTGCCTTGTAAATTGAGGGACAGTAACTGTGTGTAAAACCTGCAGACAGTCAGATTAACAGTATTTCGTCTCTATCTGCCATTCTGTGATTCATCTCATGTAAACATTAACGTGGCCACAGCGTGACGTGAATAAAGGCACATAGCTTTGACGTTGCGTGACGTAAACGCAAAAAGGAGTTTTAAAAAATCTCAGTTTTCGGTGATTTGAAACGCTGTTTACGTGAACGAAACAGCTGCGTGTTCAAGAACACCCGTGTAGGTGCGGACAGCTTAAAAGAGTTAGTCGTTTATTTTATTACTGCCTGTAATTTATTGCTGTTTACTTGTATTTGCTTAATTGTTTACAAAATGTTTGAGGTGTGAAATAAACCGCAATGGAGCAAAATATGGGCGTGTGTGGTTGGAGGATGTGCTTGTGCCCGCGCGCGGGGGGGACATTTTTCTTGTAAAACAAAGGGGGGCCCAGCAAAAAAAGTTTGGGAACCACTGCATTAGAAGAACAAGTTCCAAGCGCTTGTAAGTAGTGCAGAGGA